AGTCCGACCCCCCGGCCAGAGCAGGATCAGTCCTGTCACAAGCGCGTTCCCTCTCCCGAGTGTGCCTTTGCTCACGGAAGCCTGGCAGCCCCGCTTTTTTCCCGCTCGGCACCGCTCACCCACAAGCTTTCTGAGGCAATGCGGGGGGGTTCAGGTACACAGACTCCATTTGCCTTTTTTTTTGGCCACAAAACCATTATTTCAAGAAAGCATTGTGGATCAGAGGCCATCCTTACTAGCAAAGATTGAAGGGCGTCAGTATTAAATCTATTCTTAATAGATCCTTATGACCTTTCTATAGTTTAAGTATCGGGAAAATGATGTATTAAGAATTCGATCTCGTATCTCTTTCGTGTAGCCAGAGTTGGAAACAGTGTGAAGATCTAATCTTGTGAAGAAGACAGCTTTGGCCAATGGTTTGACATCCCAACAGCATGATCCAACCTCCAATTTTCAAAGGTGAGAACACGCTTAAATTAACACCCTTAAAAACACCTTTTAATCGCGTATGTTCCTACTGTTAAGTGCACAGTCACATAATTTGGTGTGGTATTAGAAGAGATGACATAAAGTCTCATGTCGCCTAAACATCTCACACACTAAAAAAGAAGTATCTTAACAGGATATGGCTCTAAAAGTACAAAATATACTTGAAATACTTTTACTGAAGTTTGCTAAAATCCAAGCAGTCTGCAGAATCTCTACAGAGAGTCTGAAATCCAGAAAAACACTAAACTGTTCTATGATTCTACGAGAAGTTGCACTGAAGGGTGCAGACTGTGGCTCTCTTTTCTGGCATTAGTGGTTGAAAAAAATGTTCTTAAGATGTATCAGTGTTCTCCATCAAGTTTGAACTGTGTAAATTCAGGAATGTATTGTAAAAAAATTGTTATCACAAGGTAACTACATTTGTTACTTTCAATCCTATGACAAACAAGGAGTTAGACATCAATACTTAGAGTCAATATGCTTCATACACCCTCATTTTTTAGGCTACAGATTTAATCAGGGAAATTTATGAGGGGAGCCTACATCAGCATCTTTGCCAGCAACCAGCTCCCTAATACAGACCTGCCTGCTGCCACCCTAACTAGCAGTTTTTTTTCCTAAAACTAAATCCCAGGTTAAATTTACCTTGCATCGTATCTACCCAGTGCATAGCCACAGTGTGAGCTGGTTCAGTGAGGCAACGCCAATAAAATCCAGTCCTTCATTTTGGTGGGTTAACCTTTCATCAGATCAGGGGAAGCACCACGGTATCTATAAAAACACTGTTAAGAAATAAGCAGAGAGATCTTTTCTTTTATTCCTGTTTGAACTGAGTAAGTGTAGTTTTGAATTCCAAATGTGAAAGGCTTATAACAAGTGCCTTGCACGCTCCTTTTTGACCGAAGGAGGGAAGGAGTTTGAAGAGCATCAATAGAATTTGTCCACATTGAAGTCTCAGCTCATTTAAGGGAGCAACAAAAAAAAATATCTGGAGAGTCTAGTAATGAAATAAAAAACACTTTGGAATTAATCAGTGTGAAAAAAAGGGTTCAAATACTTGACAAACTTTGCTGTGTAATGACTGCAAACTGCAATACTGGTCATACATAGATGCCTTAGTAACAGCAGGCAAAATTTTCAGTTGTAAAAAAGGTAGAGGTGAAGTATGGGGTTTGTTTTAAACACATAATGTTGTAATGACTGGAAACAAATTCCCTGAGGCTGAGATTTTCAAGATTTAACCTGGATAAGCCTGTGTGAGACGGTCTCAACCTGAAGGAGTCCTTAAATGGTGAGGCCGCCTTCTCTATTTTTATGTCAAGGAGTACTGGAAATAGGTGAGCTTCAAAATATTATCCAAGGCTACGTAACCAGTTCTTCACAAAAATAATTATTTCTCTAGATAGAACTCTTAGTTATGAGATAATTATATGATTTTTTAGGAAATAAAGACAAAACCAGATATTCAGGCCCCTTCCACTTGTTGAAAAAGTAAACAGAAAAAAATAATCAGACAGTATGTGATTAAGGCATAGAAATGTGCTTAGCTGGAGCCTAATCTAGTACTTTTTACTGGCTGAAATATGATGGTGCTTGTTCAATACACTGAAAATACTGGAGACAGACCAGAAAAAACGAGGGAATAATCCTTTAGTAGTTCAAAATTAAAATAAACCCAGTTTTTAAAGGGCTGTCACTGGAGAAAAAGAGGATTTACAGTTAAGTCCCACTTTTCACTGTGGTAGTCAGATATTCTGGATAAATTCTCTGTTCTAACTGTGTAAGAAATATCTGAATAACCTTTCCAGAAAGCATTAGAAATAACTACTAAAAAAAGAAAATAACTAGAACCTCCAGTTTCATCCCATCTAGCCCCTGGACAAAAGTATTTCTCTTCCACAGATCTTGCTCAAAAGTATTGTTTAAAATTTGGAAGTATTTTAATGCATACAGTTTTACATTTTATTTTGAAAAGCTAATCCTGAAAATACAGCACAGTTTCATCCATTAGGTCTATTTTTCACATTCAATAACCTACTCAATTATTTAGGGGACACTTTCAATGCTCTTTTCCTCTCAAGAATGAATATGTTGGATTCAGCTTTATTCTTCACAAGAACTGCTTAACTTTACATGACACACCTCAAACGTATTTGAGTTCCTCAAATATATCTCTTTCAGTCAAATTAAGATGTGAAACTCTATACATCCTTAACAGTTTTAATATGACAAGAAACTGGCACCTGAAGATTTGTATTTGCTCATACAGTAAAGCAATACATGGAAGAAAAATGGCACTTTATTTTTTCAATACAGAGGTTTCAGCTCTATTGCAAGGACTTCAAAAGATTAAAAATTCACTGTGATATTGCTTAGTTTTCCTTTAAGTGAAACCAAAGATGAGATGGAAAATCTTATTTGTTTTCTCTTAAGAATGACACTGTTAGGCAGATTTACCTACAAGAACAAATACAAACAGCATTCCAAAAACATGCATTCTTTCTGGCTGCAACACATGTAAATCACACAAAGACATTAGATCAAGATTTTTAATAAAATAGATTCAAATACATCTCATTCTTTGCCCACAGCTACATTGTTAAATATCAAAGAAATATATACTTTTAAGAAACTGGAAAAAAAATTGAGCCAGAACAGTTGGTATTGTGTATAGAACTCAAACTCCAGTTTGTCAAATCCATCAAAATTAAGCAAATCAATCTTACTATCCACCACTTAACATAACCATTACCAATTCTTAAAAGACATCGCTAAAATATTTACAATAAAAAAATAACTTACAGCACTTAAAGTAAATGCTTTACAGTTTCCTGAATTGAGTGAGTAAAACCAAGAGTACCAACGCAAATCATGGATGAACAAACCTGGAAAATAATTTCCTCCATAAACAGAATCGTAGGAGGAAAACCTGCAACAGCCTATTGCACACCATCCTGCAGAACCAGCACACACACAGCTGGAGACTCAGTGCAATCTTCGTTTGCTTTTCTTGTGCAAGAGGTTGCAGATGGTCCATGTGCCTCAAAAAGTGAGTAAGCAGCATGCAGTCCTTTTTGTCACCACGTTTTAAGGTAGGGATAAACTTGTTTACACAAGCTAGTACTGGGAAGTACATAAAATACTCAGCCTTCAATAAACAGAACTGAGAACGTTCAGCTCCACAGACAGGTACAGAAATGCCTCGTAAGGCACTTGGCACTGTAAAACTTCCCCTGGTTTTATTTTTTTTAAGAACAGAAAGTATGCCAAGAAACCAGTTTCCAAATTCCAAGATTTCAAATAATGTGAAATAGATCTTGTTGGTTTTCATTGCAACGGTTGAAGAGTTTCATATGTATCAATCTGAAGATACGTGCATTGTTCTTGGATACAAAAAAACTTGTACAAAAAAGAAAGAATGAAAAGATGCTTAAGTTGTGGTCTACTGAGTTCAGCTTCTACAGAACTGGCAAGTATTTGAACATGAAAATCATTGCATTTTGTTCACATCAGTTTATTCCATTTAATTTTTAAAGAAGAGATGTCTAAATACTAGCTTAAAAAGCCATATTACCATGTGTGTAACTCCAAGGACAGTGATAAAGCTCAGTATCTAACAGCTTAAAACCCGTATAAAATATGGGTGTGCTTTTAAAAATGTGTAATTCCTAGCATTAATCTAATGAAGCCTAGAAGATCAAGTGCAAAAAACATGTTTATAGCTAACTAATGTTTATTTTGATCAATCTTCTGGTTCGACTCTAGCAAGTGAACCACATTTTGGCAAATGAAGATGTCAGACAAAAGCAGTTCCACAGTACAGACAGATTTTCTTAGAACTTCAAGTAATTTACTCACCAATATAATTTGAGGACTGATAGTCTAGTTTTACAGGAAAGCCTTCTAAAAAAAAAATTAGTTGAGGTGCAAGAATTGTTTCATAAGTTCATATGTGGTAAAAGCCACAGCCTGGGAGGGAATACAGCGAATATAATTTAGAGATAAGCCACGGTATAATCCTCTTCGTATTCCATGCTGTTGATACACATATTTCAGCGTCTGCACCATTGTACTGGAAAAGTAAGAAGTCAAATCATTATCGAATACACACGCTCAGTTGGCAAAATCACTTTCTTTAAATACAAGACACTCGTTTTAGTTGGTTCTTAAGAGATCTATGGAGGAAACCCCATGGGACTCCACCAAGTCTTTTTAGGACTCAAAAGACAGCCTGAGCTTCTGCAGAAAATTTGGACACAAGGGCTGGGAATTGGAAAAGGGACAGTGCAATCCCATCTAAAGAAGTTTCAGTCTGAGAACACCTGCCCTAAAAGACATACTAAGACTACACCAGAATGGCTGTGCAAATTCTCTTGCCCGCCAGCTAGGAAGGAGTTGAGAAACATCAATTCTTCTTTCAAATGTAGTACAGAGTAGCAGAAACATATTTTGCCCAATGTAGCACACACTTCTGCATTAAAGACTTGTATCCCATTCTTTGAGCACTCCCTCCTACTACACCACCTTTTAAAAGTTCTGCATATAAAATCTGTGTTTGGCTCCATGTTCTACATCTTGTGTGTGTGCAGCTTCCTCCACCGTGACAAAGACCTCTTTTGAGAGAAAATACTAGAAATGCTAGAATTTAAGTATATATTTGACCTTATTAAAAGCAGAATTTGCAACATATGCAAACAATTTCATTCACATACTTAAATTAAAGTTGAGCAAATGGGCATTAAATGCAAAGCAATAGAAAAATCTGTAAAGGAGTCAGTGTTTCCATGACATGGCTCTTTGTAAATATCTTCCACATGCCGGAAAGCTTCAAGATTTCCTACTTGTTTTATCTTCTCATTCTCTAAAAACACGTATGTCTACTCTCCTTCAAGGCACAGCTCTCCAAACATGGTCACAATAATATTGTTACATTGGGAAGCCTAATGTCTGTAAAAGTAATTCTCACAAATGAGGAAAAAAACCCAACCAAACAAACCACATTTCTATTTTAAAATTATCTGGGGTGGGAAATACTCAAGGACACACAAAAGAAAAGTCTGCTAATGAACAGAGAACAAGTGCACAGTAAGCAACATCTAGGTCAGTTACAAAAGGTCAGGAAGACAGACTACCATCAGTAAGATCCAATTTGACACGCAGGAGGTTCCTACTGAATTGCACTGAATTCAGATATACACAATTCCACAAGATTGAAAGTAACCAAAGTAAAAACTCTCCTGGAATTGAATTTGCTTGAGGCAATTTGAAATTCAGAATATTTTTCAAGAGGAGAGCTGATTTAATGCTATGATTTTAAGGATATTATGGTACTTCTACTGGAGGAGCCCAAACTATGTGTGGGGTGTAGAACATGACCATAAATGCAAGAAAGGTCAACTAAGCCAGTATTCTGCGTAATCATCTTATGGAACAGATCCTGAACCATTAAAAAACAATTTGAAACATTTCATTTCACTAGAAGCCTGCAGTCTCTCTCTTAGGGATATTGTTGATATTGCAAGTCAAGTTACAATACAAACACAGAATTAGTGATTTCAGTTCAGGGCGGGGTTTAACTCCAGAGTAGTAACAGCAGCTTTTATCTGTCTGGAAACTTATCCATTAAAAGAATGAAGAAATCTACAACATAGTAGTTTGATTTTTTTTGATTTGTTTTAAACTTTAAGAACGTAACTTTGCTCAGACATCTAGGAATTCAGTTATAGACACGAAAACAAAGTACTTACAGGCACTTTTCAGAGTCTGGGAGATTTGCTCCTAACTGCATTCGCCTACGAGTTACATCAAGGGGATATCTACAGAGGAGATATTTGAATAGCTGTTCAACCAGATGTGTGAAGACTGTGAATATCATTTAAAAAAAAGAACTCAAAGAAGTCCATGTGCAGTCTCTGAGCTCCCTTTTCAGTGAGTCAGGAATCCAGCTCAGATTCGCAACACAGCTGAAAGTGCTCCAGAAATGGAGACTTCCCCTATACAACCAAAACCAGCACATCGGATCTTGTAACATATTCCATTTGGCATGAGTAAGGAAGACACATGAAGATCAGATGAGAGTATAAAACTGTCTGTAAAACGCTGGAGGGAGAAGACACCTGAATCAAAAATAAAATCAACAGTTTAAGGATTAATAGAAAATGACATTCGGAACCCAGCGATTTAGTGAAAAATTGATGCCATGTAAGTCCATTAAATTATTATTTTTTTTTTTATGGACAAAATAAAGTACAAAGTCAGCATAAGAATGCAGAAAGCAGCCAAAGTAATAAAAAAACCCCAAACTAATGCCGAACACAATATCTAAGACTTGTTTCTTCTTAAGCCTATGGCTTCACAGTCTACATTGTTTTGAAAACAAATTGGAATAATAAAATTCTGAAAATTATGTTCATTATGTAAAAATTTTATAGCTTATCAAAGAATATTCCAACTGATTGTAGATTTGTCTGGATTTGTTTGACTCACTCTATCTTTAAAGATCCCGAAGACTAAATAGTTTAGTACATGAAAAAATAGGAAATAACTGAATTTCAGTGTCTGATAAACTCGATGTAAAAGACTTACTAAGAACTAGATTTACATAATATCATATACTCAGATAAAAGTTTCTTTAGAATGAACAGCTATATAGAAAAAAACCCCGAACAAACAATACCCAAACTTACGATATCGTCTGAGCTATTGCTCCAGCTATGCCACCACACAGCAGATTAACGTGTGTTTTCAAAACTAAGACATCAGGGTTATCTAATGAAGGCCGTCCAAGCAAGTTAGGTGCTTGAGCAAGTCCAATGCTCTTTAAGGTACCAAAGGTAAAAAATGAAAAACCTAAAAGGAAATTTAATTTTATGTAGTTTCACTGAGAAGCAAACTATTTGTCAATCCATCATCATCATAAACAAAACAGTGCAGTAACAAAATGAAACTATTTTCCAATTCTTTCAGAAGCTTTTCTTAAGCAGAAAGAAATAGAAAACCAATATTTTTAATTGCAGTCGAAAAGAAATGTTTATAATTAAAATTAAAAGAATACTCTAAATAAGATAGACTGCCAGTTTTAAATTCCTGAATTGCTGTTAGAATAACAGCTAAAATCTTTTTAGCTGAAGAACATTTCTCTTAAATATGAATGTAGTTTAGCTGGGTAGGAATTCTGATGTTTCTCCACCCTACGTCACCCGTTGCTTTAGCTTCTGTAAGTGCTTACAGAAAAGTGACCAGGAGATGGAGCCAATACAGAAACTCCGAGCCTCCACCTGTGGAGCTCTCATGGATCTGCCTGCTCGAGAGAAGTATCCTACATGGTGTCTTGAGGGCAAACTGGGAAGCAGAAGAGAAAGAACTACTACTTTACCCCTTTCTCTCTCTACATCAAGTTTTGGAAAAGCTAGGCTTTGCCTGTTGAAGACGCTTTAGCACACATTGAGCAATTCCAGGTGAAGACTGAAGAGTTCCAAGTGCTTTCCCTCTCAATTCAGTAAAAAACCAGAATCCTTGATGTTAGCAGAAGTTAATTAACTAGGCCTGCAAATTTATTATGTAAATTTAGTAGCACACAACTGCTGAAGGACTGCCATGTTTTGTTTTTAACTTACCTGCATATGGTGCCATTCCTACAACAGTTGGCATGAGCCCTCTGTAGAATCCACTAAACCCACCTTCCTTTGAAAGAAAAACACAAGTACATTTGTGGCAAGAAATATAACAAATGTCTTAACAAGTTACACTACTGTTCCTACAGATTCACATGACGGCAAGATGACTCGCATTGTCTAGCAACGAGGAGCTAACAGCAAGTTCCATTTCTTGTGCCTGAAGACTTGAGGGCACAACTGCCTGGCTCCAGAGGAGATAAAGTGAAAATGAAGGACAAAAATCTACATCCAACGTCATAATACAGGAGACCTTTCTGCATTATGCGCATCCCTCCTCCCCAACCTTTTTTGTATCACTACTACTTGGTCTTGAAAAGCAACTTCTCTCTGCTGTTTTCCACCTCCCACTTACAGAAGTCTTAGCTACATCTTAGCAGACTAACTGGAAGGAAGCATCCAGCTAGTTTTTTTTACATTAAAAAATTTGACGCGCAGGCAACGAAGTCATGTTATTTTCTACCAAGCCACTATTTCCAGTGCAGTGCAACATGCTTTAAAAGAGCACATTTTGCTTTGACAGGACTAAAGATTAAAAGGAAAAATACCTTTGTGTAAATCATCTTGAATGCATGGATAATTCCCATGTACTTGTGTTCCCCTTTTACTTGGAAGGCCAGACGAACTCTAACCATATCAAGAGGGTAAGTACAAATCACTGCTGTAATACCTTTATTAAAAACAAAAACAAAACAAGAAAACAAAACTCGCCTACACCTTATCTGATTCTAGGATTATTCTGAAAATTAGAATTTCCTTTTGTGGCAGCGAATATAATAGCATATACAAATTACTTTAACTAAACACTTAAAAGTCACTTATAACCAGCAAACAGAACGCTAACTTCAGCAACACACAAAGGATTTATGCTTATACTTGGCAGTCACTGAAGCTGCTCACCTAGACTTTGATTTTCCAAAGATTTACGGGCCTGTTTTCACATGAACAATCTTATTAAATAAATCCACAGCTCATAAGCATGAGGCTAGTCAAGTGCAACAGCTTCACTGGATTGCAACCATGAAACATAATCCTATCATACATCTAAACAAAAAACAAGCAAAGAAAAGTCAAACCACTAAGTTTGCATGTTTGATTTCAAAAAGGTTGTATCATAATTTGATGTGATTACTGGATTACAGGTACATGTATCTACTGCATCTGAAAATACTAAATATATGCTAAATATCTAAAATAAAACCTAGATCCTGGTGATAAAGAGTACTCAACTGCATTGCACTACTGCATTTTAATAGCTCATGCTATCCTGTTTTAACTCTGACCAAAAAAGTTTTCTAGACTTAAGACGCCAAAAGATGAAATCTTTTGATTCATTCGTTTACGAACCGCTACAAAACTGATTAGATGCCAACTTGTAATTTTCAAAACAGAACTCCAGTACAGAGAACAACTCCTGTAACAGTTACCTGAATAACAAATTCCTTCCTACTGCTAGTTTTTGAGATAAACCACTGAACTGATGACAAAAGGATTTTGAGGGAACAGTTAAAAACTGTTTAACTAAAACCAGAGGTCATTTTCTTAGGATATAACACCATCACTTAAAAAAATACTGGGAAATGGAGAAAAAGAAAGCAATAACCTTTGTGATTGACATTGTTTCCTCATAGCCTCTCTGATTTAGCTAAACATCTCCCTTAAAAATTGGTCCTACAGAAGACAAGCACACTTTTTACGCTGGCAGGAAGTCACCACTTCGTCTTACATTTTAATAGTCTCTTAATGATATCTCTTTTTGTGGGTGTGTCATTTGCTCTCCCTTCCACAAGGTCATGAGAGAAATGCAGAGAGGAGGGGGGAAAAAAAACCAAAACGAACAACAAAATCCAAACACAACAACTCCAGCAAACAAACTCTTCTTAACTTCTTTATCTGGAGAGGAGAAAAAATAAATAATAATTTAAAAAGCAACTTCAGTAAGCTGACAGAAGATACAGGATCAGATGGGGAGAAGAAAAAAAATACACCATAATTACACTAAAAATCTGACAGTCGTCAACTGAGAGTAGTCTTCTGGAGTATCCTACCAGTGATTTATTTTATAAGACAAAAAACATCTCTTTTGGAGATTTTGGACAATTCCTCTGAACTAAAAGCAGACATCTGCAGTTGGTTTCTCACAGGGTTCAAAAGCTGGAAGCTGCAAAACACCAAAGCAACTTTAGGACTGTCTCCACTGTCCTACATTTTTAAATACAATCCCTCAGACCACAGCCTTCTCCTAATGGATGTCCAGAAATACTGTAAAATGGGTGAATTCAAGCAGTTGGGGGGGGGGGGGGGGGGACACAAAAGGTTTTTGA